CGTCCTCCTCCGCCATGTCTGTGCCGAGCGTCTCACTAGACCAGAGGTCTTCAACAGGGGGTCCGCGGAGGTACTGCAGGGTGGTCGCGAAATTTTTGGTTGATAAGACAATTTTTTTTCCACAAATTTAAATGTCTTCAGAATTGGAATTGTATTTATTGTCTTCTTTATTGTTACACATTAAAATAAATCCAACACATTGTAGCGAACGGATAAATTAGTGGAGAAGACATTATCTTTCAGTCCACAGCAGCTCTCAAGCTGGGCACCGGTTCACTCACAGCTCCTTTCATGCTGATACGACAGCAGAGGCACCAGCCAATCAGATCACGTTCATGCTCACGTAAAAGCGCAAAGCTCAAAATAAAATATGGCGGACGAAACTCTGTAGAATAGGGGGTCCCTGCTCAATCTCGCCATCAGTTTGGGGGACCTTGGCCTGAAAAACGCTGAAGACCCCTGCACTAGACCATCTCTGTGCGCCGAGCTCAGGGGACTCTGGCTGGCTGATCTTCATTATCAGCCCGGGTTTAACAATGTACTGGATGCACTTCCCACATGAGTGCAACTAACAAATCCCCACAGAGCTGAATCAAGGCAACAATGTGATGAAATACCTTCAAACAGCCACTGAGCACAGAAAACTGAGCTACGCAGAGACAACTCACACTGCCCCGGGGCGGTTCCACAGGAGCGCGCCTGTTGCTAAGCAAAATTAGACGGCAACTGGGACATATTATTCGCCTAAGTTGGCAATGTACAGCACTATTAAAGACCATAAATCTGGTGTTTCATTAGCTAAAAATACCTCAACTCACAGGGCTAACGGATTAGCATTGTACCACGCAGAAATCTAAGCAGAATCCGATGTAATTTAGAGGTAAACTGGGGTCGTCGTGGCGCAGTGGTTAGAGAAGGTGTGCTGGGAAGCACAAGGTTGTTGGTTCGATTCCAGGCTGTCCCATGTCGAAGTGTCTCCCTGAGCAAGACACCTATCCTCTAATTGCTCCCTGGGCAAAATGTAAGAGCCATGGGTTAAAAGTAAGTAAGTATGTAATGTAAGTCGCTTTGGATAAAAGCGTCAGCTGACCTGTAATGTAAAGTTTACAGGGGTAAAACAGCCCTGAAGACAAAGCCCCTCAGAGGAGTAATCTGAAATGCACACTGGCTACAAACTCTGGCTTTATAACTTTGAGTTGAATATCTGTTACTGATGATAATTCACTGTAACTCACAAATATAAATCATCCCTTTCCTTTAAGGGAACTACATTGCTGATACTACATTTCTGACGAGAGAAACTCGATACAAGCTGCAGGGAAATGAATTAAGATGCAGGAGCAAGGCCATGTTTCTCAATCAGAGTAAGGAGTCTGTCATCGCAACGGAAATAAATGCAGGGGGAACGACTGAAGAGAGGAGAGAATCGTCCATTTCCTTTTTTCTTTTCCCAGAGTCACATTACTACGACTGCCTCCCACTGGCCGCTCTGTTCCACTCTCACACCACACATTAACACAGGGGATTGGCAGAATATTGCAAACACCCCTCAAGTATAATGAAATAAAATAAAACAACGGTATTCGTTATTCTTTAGCCTCTATGGGGATTTTTGTGGACAGTTTGAGAATTTATTAGAATATTGTTGTTGTTGTTTTTTTGTTTTGAGGGATTAATAATTAATTCTGTATGTTTTGTCTAATCTTTTTGTGTACACTTTTTTTTTACAGTGTAGCGTAGTCTGAGTGGTTAGTCAGACAATCAGTATATTGTACTTCATCTGCAAGAGTGAGAGAGGATTAAGCTGCAGGTAATCAGGGGATGTGCTCCATTAGCTCGCTCTCTGCTATTCGAGCCGAGAGACGCAGCCCTGGACTGGGAGATTAGAGGTGAGATGTCTAATCCCGGGGGAATCAGCTGCTGCATCTAATCCTCCACTCCATCTCTCTCTCAACAGGTCCAAACGGAAATCCATCTCACAGCAACGCAGCCTCGCTGAGGCAGGAGACGGCGACCGCGTGCGTTTCTGATGTCCGGCATCGGAGTAAGAGAAGGAAACAAGCTAAATGCAATCAAGAGTTTAAGCCTTGGATCTCTTTTTGTCGCCTCTGTCACAGGCAATTCCGTCTTTGTTATTTAACATCGACTGCTGCTAAAAGTCAATACAACAGTAGCAGATTGATAATCAAAAGTTCTTTTCATGGGCTTAGTTGGGGGTTCGCTGTCTTGTCTTGATTTAAGAGTTAGGTAAGGGGGGAAGCAGGATGTGCCGAGCAGGCAGACACGAGTCTGACAGGATGGGGAGTCAGTTTGGCTGAGGAATGTAAGGTCTGCGGGTCAACTAGAAGATTTACCAGCCAAAGGGGGGGTTAGAGACACACCAACACTATTCAACATACACACTCTGTTTACGATGTTTACGTTAAGTCAGGAGTCTGGACATTCGATGTGACCGGATCTTAGATGCGGGAGGTGGAAGGTCCTCCTCTACGCCAGTTTAGGGCCAATAGAAATCTTTCCTTCTCTGTCTTTCAAGGGTTATAAAACATGATGTTCTTGCTGATGTTAGGAGTTGTTCTTCCGGCCTGTGTGCTGCCTGAACTGGTCCTGCCTTTGCAAACGCAGCGCTGATACTTGACCTGTGATCTGACAAATAAATTTCCCAGAACGAGAGAAGTCGTTCGGCTGAATTTTTGATAACCCCGACCAGGCTCCAAATCTTGAACACGTATTCTTACAAGACGTAAAGCTGTCAGGGAAACGAACAGGAAAACCACAGCGGACTTCTTGCTGAGAATTATTGCCTCGTGGTTAATGAAAGGGCTGCCAAGGGGCCGCACCTTACAGGGAATGAAGAAAGAGAAGGTACCGCCTCACAAAATAAATCTACTCAAGTCCTTAAAGTAGCCAGTCCTCAGAGAGGACATTGCAGTCATTGGGAACATCAGTATCTGTTTTCATCTAGAATACTTCACCTTCTGACGGCTCTGTGATTAGTGACGTTGGTTGAATGAAAGAGGGAAGGAGAGGAGAGGAGAGGAGACGAGAGTTTGCCAGTGAACAGCTGCCCCTGTAATTTATATTGATGAGGGGACTGGCATGGCGGGGAGCTTCCAGCAGTTTGATCACTCAGGCAGAGTGGGGAGTTAGTCAGAGACACGGCCCGTCCCTGTGGTCTAAGTTGGACTGGGAAGACCTCCTAAAACACACCAACACACACAAGTAAGACTGCCAAGGTCGCATCACGGGCGGCGGTGTGGACTGGCGTAGTGGGGAATCCAATGTTTGCACTCCGAGAACAGAAATAGATGGCCTGGCTGTAACCATGTAGGGCAGAGGCGCCTCCATCATTATTACTCCACCATATAATCACCAGGCTTCTCCGAGAGAGACCGTCGCTCCGTGTCCTCAATGACCATTAACCAGCCCTTGAACTCGCTCTCTGTGCACACAGTTCTGTCGAGGTTCTAACAGACGCTTCCTGACTGTGAGGCACAGCAATCAGCTTCTTGTTAAGGGGCTTTACTTTGATTTCCTCACGAGGACTGGATTTGAATATTTCTCACTGATATGAGACAGCGTGGACCAGTCTCTGCCCAGGGCTTTGAACCCGAGACTCCTAAATCATGCTCTTTGATTTGAGCCCCCTTCCGGTGTTGAGGTGCTTAGCGCCGCACTAATTAAGATAGCGGGGCGGCGGATGGCGGGTCAAAGCGTTTCTGTGCTACCTTGAAGATATCCTGACACGAACACGCACACGGGAGAGAAAAAAAAAACACACCGAAGTCCCTCCAGACAAGTAAATAGCATAACACACAGTTGTGCTGCTGTTTCGACAGGACTGTTTGAGTAAATACAGTACAAATAACACAAGTGGAGCATCATGGCTGTTTGACTTGAACTGAGTCGTCTTTATTGAACGCAGGTTCACTTGACCTCTCCGAGGTCACATGTCCATTCAGGGGCATCGTATTGGCCAACGCTTAACACACAATACTGTATATAATGTATAGGAAAGTAAATACAACAGATTGTGACAATGGAGGGCATATACTCATATATGTTAACAACATCCTTTGCCCTGTTGTCTGATGTTTTGTTTTTTTTACAGGGCGAGATGCAGCTTCTCACAACCTAGAACTCTACGACCCCTCTTACAGAAAAGCCCTCTGGCCTTCCCTCTCCACGAGTTTTATCAGAGTGATCAGAGGGAAAGGATCGCCTTCAGGGCTTGTTTTTTCCATTCACACAGCAGGGCATGAAGACACACACACACACACACACACACCGCAGCACACGGCACAAAAGCGTTTTTACATGCTTTTCGATTACACTTCACACTTGTCAAAATAGAGTACAACTCTCTCAAATCATTGATTGCTACAGGTTTGACTGTTCATCAATTCTTTATGAGCAGGCTGAAATTGAAAAAGGCTTGCGTGGTGGTGGTGAGACAAGGCAAGGCCTGTGTACTGCCATTGTACAGCAAAAATAATTCTGCGTCTTTCAATTGCGGCGATACCATCTGTACACGGAGAGTACAAACTCTTGGTAGTTAATCAGCTTCAGAGCTTGCAAGCCACCACACAACACACCACATCCGTGTTGCTCAGCTGCAAAGGCCTTGCAGAAACAAAGGAGTGCTTCAGCACACACTCTGCTCAACTGTGCATGATTATCAAACAGTCATATGACTGCACAGCATTTTAATTTCCTCTCTGGGGTTATCATCATATTCACTGCAGAACGGAGAAATACAGTGAAAGAGGATCCCACTGATCTAAGTGAGGGTATTGATTTATTACAATGCTAGTCGGGCAACAATATTCACGCAGGCACTGATGAAAGAGTCAACAGAAACAAGATCTTATCACCTCTTCTGTATACGAGGTAGGGAGATTTTCCCAGAATTGAGTCAGTGTAGAAATGTCCTTGTAATTAAATTGCATTTTTACGGCCATGCCATTGTTGTGCAACACAAGAAAAAATGGTGTACTCACAAGTATGCGTCTTCTTTGTTACGGAGATACCTGCAAAGAGAAAACAAACCATGAAAATGATACCCACTGAAGAAAAGCCACAGTGCGTACAGCTAACGGAAGGTGGCGGCGGCGATGGAGAGGTCACCGTCACTGACCAAGGTCACCGAGGTTGCAGGCCCAGGAATGTTGTGTGTGTGTGTAGGCTGCTATGTGACCTACAGCCATGCTGCATTAACTTTAACAACCGCAAGGTTGAAGCTTTATCCTCAGCGGGCATGAATGAAAAATTATACATGAACAACATTTGGAATGATAATGTGTTGAGCAGCCGCCCTGATCGGGCACGAGCACATGACTAAGCCTGTGGCCCAGAGCGGGAATAAGGCAATTTGACTTCCCTGGTTAGTTAGTTAGTTAATCCTTTATTCACTTTTTCAGATAAGGACCTTTTTTTCAAGACAGTGTGTACAAAAAACCTTTATGAACGAACATTACAATCAATGAATCAAAGCACAAATGATGGTACACAACACGTCAGGAAATAAAGAAAAGAATTACATCAAATATTCATAATCTACTTTTTAAATGGTGCTTGATACCAGCAGTGGGCGGAACACAAATCTTAACAGATTCCATTTATTATTATTTGACAAGCTAGTGATAGACAAGCGAATAAAAATCATCAAATGAAGACAAACCATACTGTTGCGGGTGGCGTGATCTAAATGTAAGCAACAATGTGGCGTGGCAAAGGCTATACATGCTATTTATATGTCATGAGAATGAATCTGAGCTGTAAACTTTGAAGGGGTTATGAGGGTGACTAAAATGATGTTGGGGCATTGTCTTGTCAGCAATGTCTTTTAAAGATTTTTGAGTATAAATATATACTTTACATTCTTCTTGTTAGGTGGTTAACTTGCCAATGGGGACCAATGACGCAATACTTAAAAAATGTTCTGTATCAACAAATTGTTTTCTGTCTTGTTATTATAAACTACAGTATTTATTTATGGAATGTATTAGTGTAGAAATATAATGTAGCAGAAAATAACACTAATCAAGTACCTAGAATTGGCACTCAAGTACACATATTATTGGGGCAGTCTTCTAAGAAATTCAATATTTCAACCAGACAGGTAGTTAAAGAAATTAGACAGTCATAATTCTAATTGCTGAGAAAATCTCTCCATGTGGAATTATACTGGAAATAAAAGTAAAGGTTTTTGGAAAAAAGCAGTGCTGCAATGAAATAAGCACTGTAGCGTCCAGGATGAAATATCTTCATCCTAAAATGTACCAATTTGTAATGAACCACATGCTAACAGGTAAAAAAATATACATATACGAGATATAAGCAGTCGTGTCTGCAAGTTGCAAACCGCTCATCAAACAAGTGGCCGGTCTGAGTAGTGCGAGTCAGCTGCTCACGCTGCCCTGCCTCGCCCCTTCAGGGCGTCAATTCATCCAGTGAGCCACTTCCGCTTCTTGCCGTCCTCAACATTGGTCTAATGCCCCGGGAGCCCGAAGCGGACGAGCGCACAGCCAGCCGTGGTCCCCAGCGGCCCGCTGGATGCTGGCGCTTTGCGGGGCGATTGCCCACTAATAGATCCCACTTGTCTATGGCTTGCGTTTGAAACTCGGGGGACGGCGAGCTGACGTGATTCAATAACTCTCTGTGAAAAAGGCGTCTGGCCGGAGATAACAATGTTTCGGACACGTTTGAGGGGAAACGAGTCAAAGAGCAACGAGGGGGAAAACAAATAAGCCCTTCAGCCTCCTATAGACATACACACAGAAACACACAGAAACACGTAACTAACATCAACTTCGCCGAGCAGAAAGAGCGAAAACAGTCACTTAGGGGGGCCCGCGCTCTGTGATGGAGCTTTAGCATTGTTCCAGTGCTCCGGGCCAAAAGCTTCTGCTCCGTCCAACTGTGACATTATACGCGAGGAGGAAATAAACAGAAATCCAGTCTTAATTCTACACTTCAATCAGATGACACCGGAGCCAGCGAGAGCTGATGGGCCATTAAAGAGCAGCGGTCTCAAGACAAGGCAGCTGCAAAGCTACTAATAAGCAGCTCTTTGTTTTGACCCTAAATGTAAGGAGCATCAATGGCGTGCTTAGTGGAAACTGCATTAGAAAAAACTATTTATTGGTGAAGTGACAATTCGAAAAGGGACATGATCAATTGAAAAGGAGTGTTTTCTACAGCAGCATGTTTGTCTTCTGACTTACCACAGTCCACCAAGGTGTGAACAAAACATTTGTAAAATGTTTTAACGAAGGAAGTGGAATAAAACACAAGCCTATGTGAGAGCACGTGAGGCGTGTGCGTGCGTGCTTTGGCCCAAGGTAACCGCACAGACCACAGCGATAATACTCAGAAGCTGCTTTGCTCGTTGTACCACTTCTTCAAGAACTACCAACGTATATGACATTTTGAAGGCTTGTTTCCAATTCTCAGAAGTTCAGTATTTAATGATCATGATTGTGTAACTATTACATTTCCTATGTCTTTGTTCAATTTGGATACTAAGTTGTACCCCTATTGCAACACTGCTCTATGAGATTAAGGGGGGATATTTACTGTAAAAGGTTTGGTTCACTGGACTTTGAACATTTTATTATTCAAGTATTGAAGTGTCCTTAGGGCCTAACATGCACTGCTGCATATTACCAGTGAATCTGTTATGAAACCTGCATTTTTTAAATCATCCAGTTGTCAACCTCTTCCTCTCTTTTTTGTGTAGTATAGTCACCAGAAATGTGTACTACGTCACCACAAAGCTTGTGGCGTGCAAATGGGTTCTCACGCCACAGGAAACGGTAAACCTTTTTTTTTTGTCTTACCGTGGACCTAGTTATCAAAAACTCAAATGTCAAAAACACAATAACACCAGATGTACAGAAAGAAATAACAAATTGGCAAATTCCCTTATTAAATAGAAACCCAGCAGTAAAGACAGTCACAGCTGTTCTATTTATTTCTAATAAAGAGTCCCGACCAAAACCGCCCATCCCTCCGTGACCGCATGGAGGAGAAGGGGCCACAAAGCCAACGAATGAGTCAGGTGGTGAGAAAGAAATTAAGTTTGCTCTGGGCACTGACATTGGCCATGCCTGCCAGCTCACGTCTCCTCAACTTGACGGCAGGTTCAGAGGTCAGCGTGGAGGTGAAGCTCTCCTTGGCGGACAAACAGGCTGCATTAAACTCTCTTACAACTCGAGTTCCGCCTTTCATTAACACCAGAGTGCCTTCTGGGGATTATTTATTTATGGCTGATATTGAAGTTATAGACCGGATTCCAATTTGAACGTTTCTCACGATAGAACGAGGGAGAGTTGTGTGGCCTGTGTGGCATTTGATCAACGTCATATTTCCCCTTGCATTGGTAAACAATTCGGAACGTGTTCTCACGAGACTCTGCCTGTGGTGGAGAGGAACTCTGCCGTTGAGTGGAGGTTTACCTCCACCACAGCTATCTGCAGAGAGGGCACAAATCCTGTAAACACGCCATTTAGATGGGAGGAGAGCGAGTCTGGGTTTGGCAGCCTCTCCGCTGCAGCCGGCTGTTGAGCGCGGTGCCATCGCAGGCGACTCAAAGTGACAGCGCTATAATGAAGTCTGAGGCGCATGGCAGGCTGTACGTCATAATTTCAGGTTCCTTAAAGCCAGACAGGGAATGATTATCATGGATGGTTATTGTCACCCTGCCTCCCTGGGAGACGAGGCGTGCTCTGGGGTTGTTGCACCGTGACATTCAAAGTTACAGTCTTCTTCATATAATGGAGCTGTCCTTTCAGTGCGCTAATGGGAGTGATCCATTTAACCTGTGCCAGAAACACACAGACGAGGAGGTTCCTAATGCGAGGCCTCTCCCGTGGGGACGTCACAGCCCCCCCCCCTCTGCTCCCCCTGGCTGCTCCCTTCCTGCTGCTTGATTCATTGACTGGCGCTCCTCACTTATCCTCATTCAGTGACTGAGGAGAGACTGAGGAGACAGACTGAGGAGACAGGGAGGCTCGCTTCCCCCCGCCCGCTCCACATGCAACTCCAGCTGCTGGAAGAGCCAGCGAGGCCCCGGCGAGAGGGGGTTGTTGGGGGGAGGGACAAGACACTACTGCAATTCCTGGTCAATACCGTGGGCCTCGGGGATGCTGGCGTTACAGCCTCCACAATAAGGCCCCGCATTAGGGTGAAAAAAAGACAAAAACATCCGACAATAATGAGAAGGTTTGGTTATCGTCCCGTTTTAATGATGGCGGTTGTATGGGACTGTTAATTTTAGTCTACTCCTGAGGTTACTAGTTAATGGTGGCTAAGAGTGGTCATCTTAAGAATGATGGATGTTGCCGCATTCAACAGTCCATCTTTTGAATGCTGACATTTGCCCGCTTGACGGTATTAACATATTAATACATTCTGGAGAGGAGCGAATAATTAGAGACAACTAATGCGTTTGTCTTCTTAGACACAGCAAAGGTGCAAAAGGTGTTTTGTAGGAGTACATACATTTGACAGGACTAATTCGGGCTTGAATAGTGGGTAGTGCTTATATAGGGAGAAAGTCTATATATATATTCTCAAACTGATCAAACAAGGATATATGCATCTAAAGTACAAACACAGGATGCAAGGTTACCCTTGCATTAATGCTTATCTCGTGCAATGGGATGGATGAGCGGATTCAAGGACCTCTGTGCTGTTCTAACTTGGCAGACTGAAGGCCAAGTTTCATACACAAAGTAATTTAAACAATCTTCCCTTTTGCAGTGACACACATAGCCTTATTAGCTATTATCCTGCTATAAACTATACCACTATACAAAAATATAATGATTTAAAAAAGCACCAATGATTCTAATCAGCTGCCCCCTAATATACTAAAACACTTAATCCATGGAGAGGGCAATTCTTCAGGGGAGGCTCAGGAGAAAAATGACTTCTCTGTCTCCAGGCGCTGTTATTTCTGGTCATTTCTAATTGGTTTTAACTAAAAGCAACCACTCCGAGACTCCACATGTTACGCCAATGCATC